GTATTCACCCAAGTCATTATTATATCATTGTTCACCAAATGCATCAGATAACATTCCAGAAGTAAGCACTTTATAAACATTTAAAATGACAACAATAGGTTTAGTGCAGGTTCAATGACAACATAAAGAGTAGTAGTTTATTCTGAAACTTAAATTTTCAACACTGTGAAGTTAGTATTTGTCTTTTGGTTGAAGTAATGCAATTCATTAAAGTTTCAATTTGCAGAAGAAGAATAGAATCTGAAACTTAAAATCGCAACGCGAAAATGACTATCGCATGCGAAAATGACTATCGCAATGCGAAAATGACTATCGCATGCGAATTGACTATCGCAACGAGAGACGCAATGCGATTTTCAATTCGCATTGCGATTCTTTCGTTGCGATAGTCAAATTCGCATTGTGATATTCATTTTCGCATTGCGATAGTTATTTTCGCATTGTGATAGTTATTTTCGCATTGCGATAGTCATTTTCGCATTGCGATAGTCATTTCGCATTGCGATTCTCTCGTTGCGATAGTCATTTTCGCATTGCGATAGTAAACTATTCTTCTTCTGCAAATTGAAACTTGAATGGATTGCATTACTTCAACCAAAAGACAACCAAAAACAAAATACTAACTTCACAGGGTTAAAGAATAAACAGTTAAACAGTATTGGCAGCAACCGAATGAATTTACTTAACAATCTAAGTGAAATTACGAGTAAATTTATCATTAAGTTAAATATGAAAAATATTAAACTTACCTTGTTGCGTAGAGTATGAACCTCGTTCTGCAATGATGCTACAATCTCACGTAGAGCTGCTACCTCACCACGTAAAGTAGACACCTCAACACGCCATGCACCATTGTCATCGCGTAAAGTACCGACCTCCTCACGCAAGGCATTTACCTCATTACGTAACTCCCCTAACTCATCCTGTGGAGGTGGAGGTTGAGGTGGACAACATGGAGATAAACGTCGTGGCATCTTTGCCGGTCGCCTATCATGAGGTGATGGTGGAGAAGAGGCTCGATGATGTGACAAAATAGGTGATGACTCTCGTTGTGGAGGTGTATATTCGGGTCGATCAGGTGATGGCTCTGGGTGAGGTGATGGCTCTCGAAGTGGTTGTTGATCATCATCCGTGCCATCAAAAAAAAGCTTACTAGCTTGCCACCAATCAGTGGCAAGCTCAGCTTCCGTGGGTGTCAGCCTCTGTAATGGAGTGTTGGCCTCCTAACAATATAAAAGCTCAAACAAAGTTAAACATGTACTAGTAATAACTTGTTTATAAACATATGGTAGTATTTGTGTTAACTTACATTATTTATTGTAGTATACGGTAGTAAATCTTCCTATTGCTGCAAGGACCGTTTCCTCTTCCAGGAAATAGCCCTAGGAATATCATTAGAAGTTTTAAATGCATATGTCTGTATGGAGGGAAATGCCTCAAATATCCAAATCTACAAACAATATAATAACAAACATTAGTAATTGTTAAAGAATTAATTATAATTTTGGAAACATTATATAAAAATTATTACCTTAAAGGCCCAAATAAATCCTGACAAAGTGTATTTGGAACCATCGCCACGCAAACTTTTTCGATCATTAAAGGCAGACGACAACTTATTCCATGTAGCTCTCCATAGATACAAACCCCACGGAAATAGGTTCCATGCATTTAGGTCATCTACCAATTTAATTAGATCATTAGGAATAGGTTGTCGGGCCTCTCTCCCTAAAAAGCCGGCTTGCAAAAGTATTAGAAGGCATACTCGGACAACATCGACGTCATCCATCTGAGTAAAACCATATTTCTTATTCAATAATCTCGTCAAGTCTTCCACGTGTAAATTCGACTTCTCCGTTGACTGCTCAGGAAAAACCCGGGAAAACCATGATAGGCGGGTAATATGTCTAGTGTACCGATCTACATCATCGTGTCCGAAGCGTAGACCGGTGATTAAGCAAAACTCCTCCCGCCCAAAACACGTATACGCCGGTGGAAAATCAAACTATATCTCTTCATCACGACATTGTATAGTCTCTGGTAGATCGCTAGTCATGGTTTGAAGAAACAGATGGGTCAACATAGCATCTCCACCCGGATGTTGTACTTTCAGCCATGGCCCGAAGCAAGTATCCTCAAATATTTTTCTTTGTGCAGGTGAAAGCTTCGACGCAATTGTTTTGGCCAGGCTTACTTTATTTCTTAAGGTCAATTGAGCCGAATAAAAGTTCTGCAAAAACAATAAACATACCAATTTAGATATACCAAAAACTACACTGTGAAGATATGAACAATAAAGAGTAGTAGTTTATTCTTCAAACTTAAAGTTGCAACACTGTGAATTTAGTTTTTTTTTTTAAGTAATGCAATTCATTCAAGTTTCAATTTGCAGAAGAAGAATAGTTTCTGAAACTTTTAATCGCAACACGAAAATGAAAATCGCAACACGAAAATGAATATCGCAACGCGAATTTGACTATCGCAACGCAAGAATCGGAACGCGAAATGAAAATCGCATTGCGATTCTCTCGTTGCGATAGTCAAATTCGCATTGCGATAGTCATTTTCGCGCTGCGATTCACTCTTTGCGATAGTCATTCTCGGTTTCAAATACTAAAATTGATAGAAACTTGAATTGATTGCATTACTTCAACCAAAAGACAAAACAAAGACAAATACTAACTTCACAGGGTTAAAGACTAAACAGTTTAGCAGTATTGGCAGCAATCGAATGAATATAATAAGCAATCTAAGTGAAATGGTTAATCTATTATTGAAAACACCAGTAAACTTATCATCAATTTCAATATGAAAAACTTAATAATAATGCAAAAATTTCAAAATAAAAATAATTAAAAAAACTAACCCTTGGTGGTTGATTTGGTTGATTTTCCATTTCTGACCGTGAATGATTTCGCCGGAGATGGAGACTGTTATCGTCGTGGGGACTGATTTCGTCGGAGATGTGGACGGATGTCGCCTTAGAGAGTGAGAGATGGAGATGAGACTGAGTTGTGATTTAGGGTTTTAGGTTATGAGTTGCGATTACGGGATATACTGTAGACGGTTCAGTGTTCTGATATATTAATATATTCGTGTTTGGAATTTGAAAAAAAATACGCGTTAATACGAATGGCATATGTAAATCGCATTGCGATTTACGTATTCACATTACGATTTACGTAATCGCATTGCGATTTACGTATTCGCATTGCGATTTACGTAATCGCATTGCAATTTTCCAAATTCGCATTACGATTTACGTAATCGCATTGCGATTTACGTAATCACATTGCTATTTTCCAAATTCGCGTTGCGATTTACGTATTCGCATTGCGAATTTGGGAAATCGCAAAGCGATAGTCAGAATCGCGTTGCGAATCTGGAAACTGATTTGCGATACCGGAGATCACGTTGCGAATTATCGATCGCATTGCGATTTAGTTGGTCATTTTGGCAAATCCAAAAAAAAAAGTTGGTTAAAATAATATATTATAAGGTATTTTTTATCACTGATGTTATTTTCTCTTTTAATTATAACAAATAAATAGAATAAATTCTTTCGGACGACATAATTAAAATCCTGAAACAAATCTTATGTTCACAACAGATCACAATTTTATTTCGATACCATATTAATCACGAGTAATTTCTATTAAACAACGGGAATTTAGTAAAACTAAAACTCAAAATAAAAATTCACAATCAAGATCATTTGGTTAAAACTATTAAACGTCATGTTTTAATAAAATTAAAATTTAAACAAAAATACAAAGCCTAACACAATTACGTATATAACATTTATTTTGATGTTCTGTTCTATAGCAACAAAGTTTCACTTTTTCATTTTTTAATTTTGCATATTGAATTTTTTTTTGGTTGATTTCAGAGGTAGGTAATCCGTAGTTCACTGTTTCGATAGATAGTTCATTAAAAACTAGTGCCGACACTATAAAGAGGGCGCACGCCGTGCATCCCATAACCGCCGTTCAGATGGAGTGGTCGCTTTGGGCTCTTGAAATCGAGGAAGAAATAATCCCCCTTTGCAGGTTTCTTCTTCATTTCCTTTTTGTTCATATTGGAACATGGTAAATAATTCTTCAAAGATGAATCGAAATTAGTAGAAGTGATGCAGGGAACTTGGAATAGGGATTGTTGCCTACAGTCCACTCGGTCGGGGTTTCTTCGGCGGCAAAGCGACCTTGGAAGGTGTGCCTCGAAGCAGTATTCTGGCATGGAAAATCTGTCACGTATCTTATAATGGCTGATCTTGTACATGAAAAGAGTTGTGATATAAAACTATTTGAAAAGCCACTATTCCCAAGGTTCCAAGGTGAGAACTTGGAGAAGAACAAGACGTTATATTTTCAGTTCGACAAGTTGGCTGAGAAGCATGGATGTAAACCTAACAATAAGTTACTCAGCCGTTTGCATGCTTCCACCACTATTCCAAGGACTTTGAAGCTTGTATTGTTAATTTACTGAGGCTGTAAAAATTGATGAATCTCTAGATAATTTTATTTATAGTTGGTGAATGGCTGGTTAAGATTTTATATAAAAGAATTTGTCTTTATTATTTTAATGTATTTTTTCATTGGTATCTTCCACGTTCTTTCTTTTTTTTTCTCTCATTTTAAGTTGCTTTAACATTTTGCATAGATAAATTATGTACTCTATTAAACTTAATATTTAAATGGTAAAAGGTCCTCTAAGAACGATATAAAATAAATTGTTAATTGAAATAATTTTTAATCAAATCTTTTAAATTAAATACTGTAATCAATCAAATAACATTCAGTTAAGTCTTTTATACGTTAATACAATCTCAAAAACGCAAGTAGGATTCTCTAAAAAACACAAAACGTATATTATAGTTTTCATCGAAAAAAAGCAGCGTCTACCACAAGTCGTCTGGCTAGAATAGTACCCTGCCACGGTTCAGTCTAGGGTTCGATTCACGGGTGGTGCGTCTTTTTTAGCTTCTGTTGTTATTTTCCCAACTACCACCCATCTCAACTACTTCCATTCCCAACAAATTCTCAATTTAAGAACACTTTGGTACCAGGGAAAAAAACAGAAGTTGGAGCATAGATTACTCAGACATGGCTTTACAAGATAACTTGGTACAAATTCCCCGATTGAAACTGGGTACCCAAGGACTTGAGGTAACTTTTTTTATTCTCATTTTTGGACACTCATTTCAGTTTTTGTCTGAAAATCTTGCTGCCATTTTGTTGGATTCTTGCTCTGAAACCCAATCTTATATATGTTCTCCGTGGATCGAAATTGATTCGGATTAAAGAATTACTATTGTAATGCTTGTAAAAGTTTTGAACTTTCTAGCATAGATATGTAGAACTCTGAAATGGAGATTTGAGATTAGGGTCGCATTTGAGAAATTACAGATTTTGATCAAACGGATAATATTTCAAATCTGTTAGCTTTATCAAAAGGTGACTACCCCAGAGCCCCCTTTTTTGTAATGGAAGTTGCAGTTCGGGGATATAGGAGCAGGGATGAAGGTTTATGGGGTGCCAACTTAGGGGATTATATTAAAAATTTAGGGTTGCGAAGCTACCAAATTTGAGGGAGTACGGAATTAGATCATGGATGGAAAAGACAGAGAAAATATATAAAATATGTTTTGAGTTTCGAACTTATATGTTCTTACACCAACTGGAACATGTTTATCTCAGTTTTCTGCTGTTCCTGAAACAGGTTTCCAAGTTGGGTTTCGGATGCATGGGTTTAACCGGAATCTACAACTCACCTCTCCCCGAGGATGAAGTTATATCAATCATTACTTATGCCTTTTCTAAAGGAATCACTTTCTTCGATACTGCTGATGTTTACGGAGCTCATACCAATGAAGTTTTGGTTGGCAAGGTGAACCTTTCCGATATTATTACGACTCTTTATTTTTCTTGGAAGTATTCTTGCCCGAATCCCATGATCCACACAAATTCGGATGTGATCCTGCGGATCCTCCAAAAAAAATCCGTATTAGAAACATAGCCATGTCCGACATTCACACCCGAGTTAGAGTAACATAGAACGGTTTGCATTTGGCATGTTTTGTTTCTTCTTGTTAGTTAATTGTGATAAAACATAATCAAGAATACGTAGTTTACATAATGCGAAATGAAGAGAATGAAGAGAAGATTTTTTAACTTACAGGCCTTAAACCAATTACCAAGGGAGAAAATTCAATTGGCGACTAAGTTCGGTATCGCGGGGATGACATCTACTGGTATGATTGTGAAAGGTAGCCCCGAGTATGTGCGGTCGTGCTGTGAGGCAAGCTTGAAGCGTCTTGATGTCGATTACATTGATCTCTATTATCAGCATCGGGCGGACACTGCAGTACCTATAGAAGAAACCGTGAGTGAATCTCTTCATCCTTACGCTACGCAGTTGAGAAATTGATTTATTCTCGTCTACATTTGCTGGTAGAGCGTATAAAACCCACCTTTTTTACTTGAAAAAATGTAGATGGGTGAACTTAAGAAACTGGTTGATGAAGGAAAGATCAAGTACATTGGATTATCCGAATCCAGTCCTGATACTATAAGGAGGGCGCATGCAGTTCATCCCATCACGGCAGTCCAAATGGAGTGGTCGCTTTGGACTCGTGATATCGAGGATGAGATTGTCCCTCTTTGCAGGTTTGCTTAATTCTCCTTCATGTTAACTTATAGATATACAACGGTCTTTGATGGATGTATCTTTCAGGGATCTCGGTATCGCTATAGTTCCTTATAGTCCCCTCGGTCGCGGATTCTTCGGTGGTAGAGCAGTAGTGGAGAGTTTACCTGCTGGAACTTTCTTGGTATTCATATTTCGATCCCGGTTCATTTCGAGCAAGCCAAATTGTTTGTTCTGCTAATGACAGATTACTTTGTTTTTTTTATTATAAGGCTTCACATCCCCGGTTTCAAGGAGAAAACCTGGACAAGAACAAGAACATTTATGCTCGAATTGAGGATCTGGCAAAGAAGCACCGATGCACTCCGGCTCAACTAGCATTGGCATGGATTCTCCAACAAGGGGATGATGTTGTTCCGATTCCTGGTGAGAGACTTTCTCTTTATCGTACTCATATCTAAATATGCATCGAACATTAGTGTTACTTTACATTTGCTTCCGATTTTCATAGGAACAACGAAGATTAAGAACTTGGATCAGAATATTGGCTCGTTGAGAGTGAAACTCACTGCTGACGATTTAAAAGAAATTGCTGATGCAGTCCCGATCGAAGAGGTCGCAGGCGACCGAAACTACGATAGCATGAGGAAAGCTTCATGGAAATTTGCAGACACACCAGCGAAAGATGTTGGGGTTTCAACTTTCAACACAGACAGTTAACGGATAAGGCCTGTTCTTGAGATGTTTGTTTCATCAGTTTGTTTGTCTCTGTTCTTCTTTGAACTTCAACAATTTAATTACTAAGTTTTCGATTTCGGTTTCATACATTGACTGTTAATAACAAGGGAAATATGTTCTGTTAAGAAGATTTGAAAGCTCAGATCTGCATTCGCATGCATGATTGTATGTATCTGTTATGTTGCAGGTTCCTTCTCCACATAATCCAATAGCAAGCAGTTAAAACAACCAGAAACAAGGAGCTATAAACTATGGCTGTGTTTTTCCCCCCCGGGATATCTGTGTCAGACATTTTTCATTCAAAGTTGACGTAGACTAAGATGTCGAGTGATTACTATTAAAGAAAGATGAATTACGAGGAACTTCTCGTAGAGGTACCAGAGGAGGAGCCGGCTGAGAAGAGTAATCAAGAGTGCCTGCAACAAGAAACTTGCTTAATCAAACTTCATGAAATCGAATAATAAATAATCTTCACTGAAATAAACAAACATAGGTAGAAGATCAGAGAAGTTGTTTATAATCCTCAAATGAGCGATAGTTTACCAACTATGTGCCATTCACGATGAGTCAGCAGAAAGTATTTTCAACGAGTTGACTCGAGAAATCTGCTGCACAACAACAGAGTGGAAAATTGCACTTCAACCAATATCTGTTCAGTTGGACCTTTTAAACATTTAATTACTGATAATAAAAAAATCTTGAAAAGCTGTTAATGATAAGTCAAAGTTCTTTAAAAAAACTATGTATAATCTAAATGAAGCCTGGGGTTTCTTCTATCGGGGGATTAACTTTCAAAGAACCAAACTTTCTGCAGTTAAGAAAGCAGCGTCAAGTGATGGGAAGTGGGTTAATCAGGTTGTTGCAGGCTTTGACCAATATAAAACAATGGAATTGGAAAAACATAAATTTAATGGCATAGAAAAAAAACCATACCACCAGACATGAATTTAAAACCCCTGTCAAACAACATTAGCAAGACATTGCATAAAATAATATAAATTGCACAGTAATCCAAAGGGAAAAAATTGGATCTTTACAACCGTGATTGACATGGGAAAAGTAAGCAAACGGCTGAGGAACTTCTTGTTAGGTAGAAAAGATGATAAAGGAAAAAGGAAGAACGTTTCTCTATCTTTCGAAGATCGTGGAAGTTCGATGGCGATCCCACCTCCGAGTCCTCTTAGGCGCATATAGAGTTTCGGGAAGTTGGCAGGTGATGTTTGAGTTCGTAAGTGTCCGAGGTCTTTCGATACAATTACTGCTAGTTCACTTGTGAATCAAGCTGCGTTAGACTTGGAAAACCAACATGACAACACCAGAGTTCTTTCAATGGCAGTATATGAAACTTCTTTAGTGAGCAAAGCAATAGAAGATGCTGCTGCGAGGCGGATTCAAACCTCCTTTCGAGCATATTTGGCACTTAATTACGGATCCCAGGTTTTGTTATAACCATTGATGACTTGAGTTCTGGACTTAAATGCTGCAATGCCTTGGTTTTGTATCATTGCAGGCAAGGAGAGCATTGCATGCTTTGAAGGGACCAGTTAAGTTGCAAGCACTGGTTAGAGGTCACCTGGTGAGAAAACAAACTGCAACTCTCCAATGTATGCATGCTCTAATGTCAATACAACTCCAAGCCCGGGTTCAGAGAATCCAGATGGCTTCGAAGCCACAACTCACATCAAAAAGCCAATTATCAACACACGGAAGGCTCCCCCGGAGATGGGATTCAAAAGAGCACAGAAAGTAAGCCTTTCTTGATATTATAGTTTCTTTCCACGAGTGCATTAAGATCAATACCCTAAAGTATTATGTAACTTGTTTGATTTTCTTTCATTTTCCACCATTTTCTAATCAGCCAAACGCCTACTGCCTCACAAGCAAACAAGTAATAAGCTACTGTGAATCCAAAAATCAACAACTAATTCACTGTTATGTTTTAATCTGAACTTAAATAGGATGAAAAACGTGGAGTCTTCAACAGCAAAAATGATTTTACAAATCGCTCGAAAACCAAGAGAATCAAGCAAGGAATCACCAGAAGTTTCTTTGATGAGATTTCAGCCTCAACGGAAAAACCAAACAATGAAGAGTTGTCCTTCACAACACCCAATAGTCCCAGAAATTGTCCTCCATTAAAGTACAAGCCAACAACACCAGGAATATCCTCTTTCAGTTCGTATGAATATCCATGCATGCCTAAGTACGTGGCTAACACACAATCTTCAAGGGCCAAAGTCCGGTCGCAAAGCGAACCGAAACAACGACCTGCATCAAGCTTCAAAGCTAAAGGCAAGAGAACAGCTTCAGCCAAACAAATGAATGATAATAATATGTAACATTCACCCTCACAGACGATAGTCATAAATGAGAACAGGGTTTGTCGAACTTCATCAATTAACAAATACCTCAAAATGTTGAGCCAAACAGTAAAGACTCAAAGGCGATTGAATGAATAAAATACCTGGAACTTGAACTTAGTATTTGAACCAAGTTTTATTTGGTTTAATCACATCTCTAGTTACAATAATTTATCCAAAATGATCTAAACATTGCCTAAATTTTCAATTCAATGGATGATGATCCACCTAAGCCTCCTAATGTTGCAAAATAAAAAATTGCCAGCAAAACCTGGTAATCAGTTTTAAGGATAAAATTTAGACAACATATAGTATAAATCATGAACTCCAATAAAATCACTAAGAGATTCTTGACTACATACCAACATAATACAAATACACAGTTATCTCAAATCTTATACACTAATAGTTATTAACAAAACAAAATTCATTGAAAATAAAATACTTTAAAGATGACTAACACTACAAGATGCACAAACATGATAAATAAATGAACTGCCACTACACTACTGGAAGTCCACGTTATTACTAAATATGGAAAATATTTATCTCCAAAATTCAGTTGCTGGAGAAAACTGGAAACCAGCATGATGAAGAAAATGAAAATTCAAGAGCTTTCATTGTGGAGCAAGTGATGGAAAAGAAGGGACAGATCTTAGAATCAACTTCCTACTATGCCATTCAGTGGATGAAGTGCAAGAATGATTTGGAGTTGAAGAAACCCTTTTGCATTTGGGAGATGTTGGTTTTGAGACAAGAATTAAACCATTATGTTTGGGAATCTCAGGAGTTTCATCTTCTGGAATTCCATGAAAATCTGAATCAAACCTGGATTGACATGACAAAGAGTCTGATGAATCATGTTCTTGAGTAGAGCATAATTGAAGAGATGATTTAATAGAATGGCGAAAAAATGCTGCAAGCTTCCCTCTATAGGCAAATGGCAGCCTGCAAAATATAAGGAAATGCCTAAGTTACTCCGATTCGATAATGTGTCATACTTATGTGAATATTATAAATTGTTTAAAGTTCTTCTATATATTTAGAAGAATGAAGTTATACCCATGTCTGAAATATGTTCAAAATAATAATACCTGGACATATCAGGGGAAGGCACTGAAAGATTTGGATGCTCTTGACCTTTACTGATTACAATGTCTGACTTTTTCTCTGATGCATTTCTATCGTGGGCATCTAAAGTGTCCCCATTGTATTCAGATTCGTAACCTCCTAGTGAGGAAAAAAATAAAACATTAATAAATGAAAAACAAATAAAATACAACACAAAACATGAATTTTATTGTCCCTGTCGTACAAAGAGTAATTGTCAAAACTTATATAAATATATAACATCATGAATAAGATTGTAACAGATGAAAATATGTTTATAATATAGATATAAAAATTGCAAGTTTTTATGTTAATATATATATGTACTCACCGTCCTTCCGACCAAAATTATTTTTACAACCTTCACATCTACAGCCGAGGGAACATCCAACACCAGCCTTTGATTCACAGATGAAAGCAACTATATCAGATTGGTGAATAAGACAAATTATGCAGAATGAGATAAGCATACAAACCTGAAAACATTCACAGTATTTCTTTAAGCAACTTGATCTTTTACAATTGCATCCTCTTTTATGCCTGGCTGAAGCTGGAGTTTTGTTAGTTTCATCCTGCATGAGCAACCGCCATTTTCTATGTGATTAAACCATAATTGCTGAAAGAAGAGAGAATTTTATTTAAAATTGGCAAAATCATTATTGAATCCCACTTTTATCATAGTTTAAGTTCAGTTTTTCAAGATTTTCATGTACTTGGAGGGTCGTGGAGTAACATATTCCCATAACCATGTATGGATATGCATCAAACACAAGTACTTAAAGATGATATTTGTCTGGAGGAGTATCGTGGGTTGCATTCGTGGATAATCTTAGTAGGCGAGTGCATAGAAGTGCATTATGGGATCGTTTTAGTCATTATGGCAAGGTGATTAAGGTGTTCATTCCATTTGTTAATAGGAGACCTTATTACAAGGAAAATACATTTGCTTTTGTGCATTTTACAATTGAGAAGATGAATAACGTCTCGTTCGATGGGAGGAGAATATCGGTGTCGATTCCTAAGTATTAGAAGAAAAGTACTTCGAGGAGCTTCAAGTGTACTAGTGTGACGAGGTCTACAGATGCTGGTGTAGATGAGTTGCTAAGGAAATTATCATCGTCTCCAACTGCAGGTATTGGGAAGAAGGAGATGATGAATAAGTTTTGCGATGGAAAGTCATATAAGGATACGGTTGTGGGAGCAAAAGAAGTTGAGGGCCAGAAAGTGGGGAGTTTAGGAGCTAAGATGGAGGTGAAAAAGCCGTTGGAAGTTTTTATTCCAATGGAGGATAGGTCAGGCTGAAAACGTCTTTAACTGGTATTTGCAAGCCATTGTTCGAAATTGAGTTTGTGCAGAGGGCGTTAGGATCTGAGGGAATCAATGTCAAGGAGGTTAAATGGGGTTATGCAAAAAACACATGTTTGGTAGTTTTTCAGACTGTTGAGGAGAAAGTTGCAACGATGGAAAACAAGTGGGAGGCTTTATCCTTTTGGTTCGAAAGGTTGGAACACGTTGTGGAAGAAAAGGGTGTTCCATTACCTTACTGTGCAGTTTCTATGATTGGTGTTCCTCTAAACTGTTGGTCAGTTTCTTTTTTCACAAGCTTGGCGTCGAGATGGGGCAAACTAGTTAAGATACAGGAACAAACTGCTCAAAGAGTGGATTATAGAGTAGCTCATATGTTATTGAGGGTAAGTCCTTTTGATATACCTCCCCATGTCACTATTAATACGTATGGGAGATCGTTCATGATTAAGATTAAGGTGGAAGGAAGTGAAGATTTTTTTCCGGAGTTAGAGGATATGGTTGAAGATGACGGAACAATAAATAATGGGGAGGATATCTTGCCGGAAGAGAGCCATGGGGATGACATCGAAGAGCAGGAAGGGAGGTTGGGTATGCAGGCATTGTCAGATATTCAAAACAGTGTACAAGCATGGGTATTGGAATCGTCACAAGGGGAACGCACAATTTACGATGGTAGGTTGGAAGGAAAAGGGGTTTTTCAAAATTTAGTGGCAATTGATGTATGTGCAGAGGAGACAGTTCTTGGTGATGTCCAGGGACAACAAAAAAGGTTGGGGCTGGTACAAAAGAGAGAGAAGGGGTGGTTAACAGGGATGAGGTCTCCTTGGGGCTTGATATTGTTGACCAAGTGAATGGGCTTAATGGTAATATGGGTAGGGAAGAAGTTAATGGGACTGTTCAAGGAAGTCTAAGTTCAAATGGAGGTGGTTACAAGCCTGATGAGTTAGTTAATATTAGGGGGGAATGTGGAGGTCCTCAGCGGAATGTTTTGGAGGGTTCAGAGCTATATTTTGCAGCAGTGCAGTTTGGATCTAATGGGGTACAAGTTAGTAAAGTTCCTACAAGGAGGTGTTCTTCTTCCCCTCCAACAAATCGAGTTCGTCCTCCTAATGCTGTTACCATTTTTTGTGACAGAGTTTATAGCAGATCTACTAAGAAGAATAAAAGAGGTGAATCGGAGAAGGGTTTTTCAGCAGTTGAATTTTCGATTGATAAGGATGAAATGGAATTAACTTGACAGGTTAGCCAAATGTTGGGTGTTCACTTTAAGGGGGGAAAGAAGGATTTTGCTGAGAAGTTTTTGGAGTCCAATTCAGCTAGGAAGGAGAAGGGTGGGTATTAACCCTTAATATTGGTTGAAGGTTTTTAATTATTTTTTATGGTTCGTGTATCTTGTGTCACTTGAAATATTAGGGGCTTAGGTAGGAAGGAAAAGGCTAGGGCAGTGAGGAAGGTGGTTGTAGATAAGAAACCATCGTTTCTTTTTCTACAAGTAACGAAATTGGAGGTGGTTAATATAAGTTTGAGGAAGTTGGGGGTAAATATCTAGGTGGGGTGGTGGAGTCCCCGGCAGTGGGAGCATCAAGAGGATTGGTTACTCTTTGGTATGAGAACTGGTTTTTACCTAATTTGGTGAAAATTTCACCAAGGTTTATTGCTTTGAAGGGTATAGTAAAGGATAACCAAGAGGTGTGTTGTTTTATTAATGTCTACGGGCCCACTGTTGAAGCTGATAAAGAGGCGTTTTTTGAGGAGTTAACCAGTTTTATTTCTTCATTCGGATGCCCATTATGTGTAGCTGGAGACTTTAATGCTCACTTATCACAGGAAGAGAAGATGGGGAAATCTCTGAATGAAAATTCAATTGGGCGGTTCAGGGAGTTTCTGTTTCAAGCAAGTTTAATGGATCTGCTTTTAGTGGGAGGGAGTTTCACTTGGGGTAATAATAGGGAAGATCCTACGTTTGTGAGGC